GTACTCACCTAGATGCACTCAGATGTTGTACCTCTGGATGTACTCACCTAGATGCACTCAGATGTTGTACTCCTAGATGCACTCACCTAGAGGCACACACCTACATGTACTCAATACGATGTGCTCAAGAGATGTACTTGTAGCAGTTTAATACAATGATTCTCCTTTTTTTGAGCGTCGTATTTACATGTAAAACTATGTGTATTCACCTAGTTGTATTTTGCGGGGGTTGAGCTTTGCTCTTTCGGCCCGCCTCTCAACTGTTTTACTAACTACTTTTTTTCCCCACACCACACACACACACCCCAGGAAGCAGCCCGTGACAGCTGACTAACTAACTCCCAGGTACCCATTTACTGCTAGGTAACAGGAGCATTCAGGGTGAAAGAAACTTTGCCCCTTTGTTTCTGCCTGGTGCGGGAATCGAACCCGCGCCACAGAATTAAGAGTCCTGCGCGCTATCCACCAGGCTACCTGGCCCCCCTAATGTGTTTACTAGTTGTGTTTACTAGTTGTGTTTTTGCGGGGGTTGAGCTTTGCTCTTTCGGCCCGCCTTTCAATTGTCAATCAACTGTTTACTAACTGCTTTTTTTTTTTTCCCCACACCACACACACACACCCCAGGAAGCAGCCCGTGACAGCTGACTAACTCCCAGGTACCTATTTACTGCTAGGTAACAGGGGCACTTAGGGTGAAAGAAACTTTGCCCATTTGTTTCTGCCTCGTGCGGGAATCGAACCCGCGCCACAGAATTACGAGTCCTGCGCGCTATCCACCAGGCTACGAGGCCCCTTGTGTGTGTGTGTGTGTGTGTGTGTGTGTGTGTGTGTGTGTGTGTGTGTGTGTGTGTGTGTGTGTGTGTGGAATTGGCCTTGAGAACAGCTTCATGCCCGTTGCTTCTGTGTACAGCTGATCTTCACACATGCGTCTCACCAGCTGACCACGACGTGCTCCCGTTCTTCTCTAGCTCACTGTGTGTGTGTGTGTGGGGGGGGGGGTAAGGTTGGGACCTCTAACCTTACCTTGTGACCCCTAACCTTACCTTCTGACCCCTAACCTTACTGTGTGACCCCCTAACCTTACCTTGTGACCCCTAACCTTACCTTGTGACCCCTAACCTTACCTTGTGACCCCTAACCTTACCTTCTGACCCCTAACCTTACCTTCTGACCCCTAACCTTACCTTCTGACCCCTAACCTTACCTTCTGACCCCTAACCTTACCTTCTGACCCCTAACCTTACCTTCTGACCCCTAACCTTACCTTCTGACTCCTAACCTTACCTTCTGACCCCTAACCTTACCTTCTGACCCCTAACCTTACCTTCTGACCCCTAACCTTACCTTGTGACCTCTAACCTTTCACTTACCTGACGCAGCAGTTACCGTAACAGGCTGTGTCACCGCCTGTAACTACTACTTATAATTGGTTCCGGGTACAGCATCCAGATAAGTGGTCCGTTCCCGCCCTCATTAAGTACAGGTCACGCGTTAAAATGGAGTGTCGAACCCCCCTCCCCCCGTCACACCCACTAACGATGGGGTGTCGAACCCCCCCCCCCCCCCACCACCACCACCGCCACTAACGTACACATGAGCGGATACGCTACTACGTGTGTAATATCTACGGAGAGATTGATATAATATATCAAGTGTTGCAGTATTTAGATAATATTAACATGGTTCAAGCAGTTGCCTAAGTATAGTATGAGTTCTGGGATGTCAAGGAGAGTGTAAACTGGTGTATACTATTTGGGGGTCTGTTTACACGTGTACCGTTAAGGAGAAAACTCTTGTTTACCTGGCCCCTAAACGTGACTGTAGGTAAACTGTCGCCAGTGGAGGAGAACTGGAAAAGTAGAGCTGGCGAAAGGGGGAGAAGAAATTGGAAAAAAAAGAGAACTGAGAAATGGTGAGGAGATGTAAAGAGAGAGGAAGGGAGGCAGGGACAAGGGGAAGAAAGACAGGGACAAGGACAAGGCTGTTTGTATATTCCCCCCTGGCGCCAGGAACCCCCCCTGGCGCCAGGAACCCCCCCTGGGACCCACATAACAGCAGTAATTACTGGACCATCATACGCCATTATCCTACACTGGCACACTAAACCTCTCTCCCCACTTCCCCCGTTTTCCCTCCCGAGACTCCAGGGCCGACTTTTACATTTTCAGTTCTGTCTGGGGGATATAAAATATTGGATGTTTTTATCGATTTTCCGTTTATTTTTATTTTTCCTCTGGTTCTACACTTCCAAATTGTTTGTGTATTCCCTTCTCGCGTTCATTCTTATTTGTATTCTCTTTGTTCTCTTTATACTGCCTTTTCTTCCTCCATTCTTAGTCGATATTCTCCATTTTCTAAATTGGTTTACCGAGTTCAGGGTTTGCATCTAAGCTGAGATATAGATACACGTGTTCCGTATAGTGACATGACCACTTCTGAGTACCTGTTTGGTTGATCCTGTGCACCTCACTGTGCAGCTCTTACAGTCTTGTATGTAAACACACACACACACACACACACACACACACACACACACACACACACACACACACACACACACACACACACACACACACACACACACACACACACACACACATGTTTTGTTACTCTTAAGTCCGGCAAGATTATGTGTCCGCCCTGAGATGTGCTTCTCTTAAGTCCGGCAAGATTATGTGTCCGCCCTGAGATGTGCTTCGTCTGGACTTGTCTCAGTGCTTATGTGTGTATCTGGTCAACACCTCAACTTTAATTACTGTGAATTTATAAAGTTACAAAACAGCAAAGACTGTGGACCTGAGATGCGATACATCTATCGTGCAGTAAATAGGTACCTGGGAGTTAGACAGCTGCTACGGGCTGCTTCCTGGGGTGTGTGTGTAACAAAAAGGAGGCCCTGGTCGAGGACCGGGCCGCGGGGACGCTAAGCCCCGAAATGATCTCAAGATAACATCAAGATAGGTAAGCCTCATCTAAGAATGTGTGTGAAATTCATTTTCGCATAAATAAAAACAAAGGGATTCGTATATCTCCAAGGAATACGGCGCGCGCCGTCTTGACACAAGAGATCAAAGACTACTGAACCTTCTTGTGAAGTCTTTGAGATTCTCTCGCAGGATGAAGTCCAGATATTGTGAGAAGACCTGCTCCTCACACACCCTCACAGGGGCGTCCCCTCACAGGGGCGTCCCTCACTCCTCACACACCGTCACAGGGGCGTCCCCTCACTCCTCACACACCCTCACAGGGGCGTCCCTCACTCCTCACACACCCTCACAGGGGCGTCCATCACTCCTCATACACCCTCACAGGGGCGTCCCTCACTCCACACACACCCTCACAGGGGCGTCCCTCACTCCTCACACACCCTCACAGGGGCGTCCCTCACTCCACACACACCCTCACAGGGACGTCCCTCACTCCACACACACCCTCACAGGGGCGTCCCTCACTCCTCACACACCCTCACAGGGGCGTCCCTCACTCCACACACACACAGTATTATGCTCTCTGAGATACGCAAGAAGATATTCTCGCGTGTTTCTCACAGTGGATCAAACTTTTAATAATAAACACAGATGATAAGGTTTTGTTGCTTCAAAGGACTTCACCCACTAATTAAGACGCTTAGAACAGTCTTCTGTAAAGATGTGACATACATTCGTCTCTGAGGTAACCATGGGATGAAACTGAGGTAAAAATGGGGGGAAACTTTAGCGCGGGACCACACAGAACGTCCGTTAACAGACAGGAGATAGCGAGGACGAATTATGACAGGAGAACTGACAGGGTCCTCCTGTCATAATTCTGGACAATTCTAACAGGAGGACCCTGTCACAACCCGTCCTCAGACAAAATTGAATACCATGAGAACCACCCCCCCCCCCTTCCCTCAAACCACCTGGATACTTATCTAGGTATTTGTAATGGTTTCAAAGCATACTACGGTTCCAGTAATAGTCTACATGTAAAGGACAAGTGAGCCTTTATCGTGAATAGAGATTATTCTCAAGTTGTAACTTTAATGTAATGGAAATCGTTGGTTTAAAATATAAAAGGTGCACACTGAAAAGTTGTTGTTTTTTAATTTGGTTTTCTGTAAACGGAATTCGCGGGCACACTGAAACAGTTTTCGAATTCCATATTTTGCGTTATCGACAATAATATATTGTATTAACGTAACCAAACGTAATGAAACCGAACCTAACCTAACCAAACCTAAATCCCAACATAAAATTGATCTTTAAACAATGGATATAAATTGGATATCTTTATTTTCGGGAAAAAAACGTGGGTAAGTATTGGTTTGGAAACAAGATGGTCACTTGTGTGACAAACAGACGCGGGATCACTTGATTGTTTCAAGCGCAGGTTAGACATATCTGAATGAGTTTGAGTGGATATAAATAGAGGCTGCCAATAGAGGAGCCAACAGTCATTCTGCAGTTTATTTTATTCTTAAGTTCACACCTGAGTGTCACCGGTTGAGTCTGAGTGCTATTCTTGTTACCTGAGTGTTACCTGAGTGTGTTACCTGTGTTACCAGTATTTCCTGACTGTTACACGCACACACAAATACAAAAAAAAGTAGTTAGTAAACAGTGAAATTGAAATAAGTTTATTGAGGTAAAATACACACAAAGGGATGAGGTAGCTCAAGCTATTCTCACCCCGTTCAGTACATCGTGTTAATACATACATAGACACACATCACAAGCAATAAACATATTACCGAACATTCTGAGAGATAAACATATACATTCCCTCCTTTACACAAGACCTAGTAAACAGTTGATTGACAGTCGAGAGGCGGGCCGAAAGAGCAAAGCTCAACCTTCGCAAACACAACTAGGTGAATACTCTACTTACTGGTGATGAGAGAAGCGTCTACCTCATCATAATGAAGATTAAGCCACCCAAAAGGTGGCACGGGCAGGAATAGCCCGTAAGTCTACCTCATCTACTCGTTCGTGACTTAATGGTGTTCCTTCCTCCTGCAGGCGGTGGTGGCAGCGGCAGCAGCGGCGGCGTCGTCAGTCGCGGCACAAGACTACCAGGAGACGCCAGACTACCCGGACGGCTACTACGCCTTCGACGAGGCTCCCGCCAAGATCCCACCCAAGGTCCGGAAGCCTCCTTACTTCCAGTCTAAGGTGCCCTGTCCAGGTCAGCTCCAGCTCTCTCTTAAATTGGTATTGATTCTTTATTTATGCCGAATTCCAGCTTATGGAAACAATGGGTTTGTGTTTATGTTTGGAGACTTGGGACTTCAGACCCTCCTGGTCTGGAGACTTGAGACTCCACACTCTCCTGGCCTGAAGACTTGACAGACAGATGCATGGCGTGTATGCACCTCAGAACAAAGAGCTAATTAAAGCATATTGAGCGTTTAATAAGCGGATGGAATGAGTTTATAATTAGCAAATTTGAGTTATTAACCAGATTAGCTCATTTATTACAAAAAAACAACTATGTTTGCCCTGTACAGTAGCAGCTTATTTCACAACCAATAACTGAACAGATAGGAATAACATAACAGCACTATTGGAGGCAAGTTAAGGCGTAAAAGGTTGTTACACAAAGACAAACTACCTGATTGGAGCGCAGCCAAAAATGTTTAGCAAAGTTAGAGAGTCGTAATCATGCCAGTTAGCCAGGATTTACACCACTCGCAGAGGATTGGATATCTATCTATCTATCTATCTATCTATCTATCTATCTATCTAATGTGTGTGTAATTAGACACAATAGCATTTTGGTTGTTTGGTAATTTTCTATCTTATATGATTTACCTTATAAGGTATACCTACCTTATATGATTTATTCTCTCTCTCTCTCTCTCTCTCTCTCTCTCTCTCTCTCTCTCTCTATATATATATATATATATATATATATATATATATATATATATATATATATATATATATATATATATATATATATATATATATATATATATAATATACGACGTTTCGGTCTGTCCTGGATCATTATGTGCTTATACCCTATAAGCTATGCGATCTGCAGGATGGGTAGAAAGCCTGCAAGATTTTCCATATCGGTACCTTAATCATCTTTCCTTTCACAGGCACTCTGGAAACCAAGGAGCAGATGCAGCAGTCTCTGGACAATTTGTGTGGTGACCTCAATGACGGCCTCCTGCCCATCAACCCCATGGGTCAAGCTGTACTAGGTCACTCCTATCCCTTGTGAGTACACACGCACACACACACACGCACACGCGCACACACACACACACAAACATTTAATATTAAGTTCCCTGAATTAACATAAAATACAAATTTAACCATTATATATATATATATATATATATATATATATATATATATATATATATATATATATATATATATGCAAACAAGCCTGAATGGTCCCCAGGACTATATACAACTGAAAACTCACACCCCAGAAGTGACTCGAACCCATACTCCCACAACTGGTATGTACAGGTACCTGTACATACCAGTTGTGGGAGTATGGGTTCGAGTCACTTCTGGGGTGTGAGTTTTCAGTTATATATATATATATATATATATATATATATATATATATATATATATATATATATATATATATATATATATATATATATATATATATATATATCCTTCACAACACATTCAATATTTTAAACTTATAACTAACAACTTAATACTTTGCGACGTGATGTAAAGTGTGTTGTGTCCACCATAATCTCCCTGACGGTTCCTCCCGCTCCTCCGACAGTGACCTCATCAAGAACAAGACCCTCGACTTCTTCAGCAAGACGCTACCCATCCTGAAGGAGGACAAGACGCTGCCCAAGGTCGCCAAGCTCAGGAGCAGGAACGTTCCACTGAGGTGAGTATGTCTCTCAGCTCGTTCTTGGGTGCTTCAAGGAATAATTAAGTATAAATTTTGACCCGAGTGGCGAGTTTATCGGGCAGCGCCGCTCATCCTGTGAGTGGACACCGCCATAGCAGCATGTACAACACTCCCCAATAGGAAGAAAACCCGCTGGGGTTGTTCATTCTGTCACAATGTTTGTGGGAAGTGGTTAATGAAGAATGTATGCGTTATCTGGGTCACCCTCGAGGTGCTGCTTGTTTCGAGGGTAACCTCGTCAGTTTTATATGCTACATATTGTGTTTAACAATACTCACTCGAAATTTGTACCATCCATAAATATACAACTCATTTAATTAATACCAAACGTTAATTCCAGGGACCAGTTTCGTGTTATCCGGCGGCCCATTCGATCCGTGAACGACGACGCGCTCTTCCCCAAAGGCGCCGCCATCCAGACGGAGGTGAGGCAGACGTTGGAGAGCCTGGAGGAGGGCAAGGTTGAAGGACGGTCGCTGGCCGCTGACGAGGGCGTCCAAGGCAGGAGCGCCAGGGCCTTCTGCGACGACAACTGGGGACTGTGAGTGAAGTCCGGTGTACCAAGTCCGGTGTACCAACCTCTAACGCCATCAACACGTGCAAGTGTGCAGGCTAAGAGTCACAATAACGTGACTAAAGTATGTTGACCAGGCCACACACTAGAAGGTGACGGGACGACGACGTTACGGTCCGTCCTGGACCATTCTCGACTTGACAATCGAGTTAAGAATGGTCCAGGACGGACTGAAACGGTCGTCGTCCCTTCACCTTCTAGTGTGTGGTCTGGTCAACTCGTGCAAGTGTCTGGCAGCCTTATACGGGGTATTCATGCCCGTGCCACCTCTTGGGGTGGCTTAATCTTCATCAATCAATCTATCCTGGGTAGCTGTCTTCTCACAAAGCGACGGCACTTAGCATAATAGCCAGCGGCGCCTGGAGACTTACACCACAAGTTCCCAAGAGATACACAGAGAAATGTATCCCGCTTCTCGGTGTATATATATACACTCCGTATACTTTAGTCTTGGACATTGGTAAAAGCCTAAAGTATATCTGGCGGTTGGTGAGGGAATTCTTGTGGCCATTATAACCAGAGGCTGTAATATGCAATACCCACAATGAGAGAGGGTCCCAGAGACATCCAACTGGTATCCAACTGAGACTTTAAACCAGTCCTGGAATATCCCTTGAATCTGGTGGTATTAGGTGATCTGCCAGACTCATGTGATACCCCAGGAGAGGTTGAAAGTCCCAGTGGGATGCCAGTTATGTGTTTCTGGGACCCTGTCTTATTGTGGGTAGTCGTAGTTAGGTCGGTAGACCTCCTGTCTTCCACTACGATAGTGCAAGTGAATGAAATGAAATATATATCACAAAAACACTGATCCAAGTATGGGGAAAAAATAAATTAAAAAATGCTGAACGCGTTTTCGGCTCAATTCGCCTTCATCAGAGCAAGGATCTTGCTCCGATGAAGGCGAATTGAGCCGAAAACACATTCAGCAAATATTGCGTGTGTGGGGCCACCAGGTTCTGTATGCTGTACAACGCCATGGCCGGCAAGAGTTCGAGCGGGAACGCGGCCCAGGACCGCAACGACGACGGCGGCTTCCAGGGCTCCCTCAACAGCCTGACGGGGGGCATGCAGCCCCTCACGCCCTGCCCGTCAGCCGTCGAGTACATCACGCCCGTGTTCGCCAGGAACTACCAGGGCGTGTGGCGCTACGTCGTCCAGATCCCCTACGAGGGCTACTTTACACAGACCGTCGAAGTCACCCAGTGTTTGTGAGTGGAGGCACAGTTGGGGGGTCTGTGTATGGGGGATTGTATATGTGTGTGTGTGTGTGTATTTGGACTGTATACGTGTGTATGGGGGTTGAATACGTGTGTATGGGGGCTGTATACGTGTGTAAGTTCCACTCGTCACTAAGTTTTAAAGTTTTAGTTAGCCAGATTTGTTAATGTTAGTCAAACATTGTGTTTGTTTAATTTATGTGAATATTGGCTGCGAATTGTAAGGGTTTGTGTGTATTAGTGTGTGTGTGTGTGTGTTAATGTTTGTGTAAAAAGAATTATACTAATCGACGTAGAGTATGTGCGTTATACACGAGGAGTTTTTAACATAGCTGTATGACGCCAAATTTCACCTCCACGTCAATGTGGTAAAAATCATTTTGATATCATATATTCATTATAAGCAGACCTGTTATTTAATACGTAATCATGAGCATATATATCATGCGATATATTGACCTGCTGAGAAAATTACTGCGAATAATTTTATTAACCAATTAATTTTAGGATATAATTTGTACTGATAAGCTAATTATACATAGCTACCCTTTCCATACAGAAATTATGTTGAGAGTATAAAGTAAAAAAAAATATATATCATTCATGTTTTTTCTTTTACGTTTTGCAGTTAAGATAATGAAACTAATAACTCTTACTCTCATTATTAATTATTATAAATTGAGATATTATTAGCATTTAAGGTTTTGTAGTTATAATGATATTTTGACCAAACCGCACATACTAGAAAATGAAGAAACGACGACGTTTCGGTCCATTCTGGACCTTTATCAAGTCGATTGTGATCACAATCGACTTGAGAATGGTCCAGGACGGACCGAAACGTCGTCGTCCCTTCACTTTCTAGTGTATGTGGTTTGATCAACATTTTTCAGCCACGTTATTGTGACTCCTCGTCTGCCTGTAATGATAATTCAAGACTTTTGTAACTAACGGAGTGATACCTTGTACTTTGTGGTGGTTCAGGTCGAGCAAGTGTCACTATCTGTCGGGGGCTTGTCTGGCGTCGCCCCGCTGGGTGTCTCTCCTGGTGGCCGAGCTTTACTACCCTGATGCCTTGTTCCCGGTCACGCCCTCGCGTCCTGACCTCAGGTACGCCCCCTCCACACACACACACACACACACACACACACACACACACACACACACACACAATCAGGAATAGGCTCAGGAACCTATACACCTGTTGATTGACGGTTGAGAGGCGGGACCAAAGAGCCAGAGCGCAAGCACAATTAGGTGAGCACACACACACACACCGCCCTCACCACAGATATTTGTTGCTGATTATTATAGACATATATATATATATATATATATATATATATATATATATATATATATATATATATATATATATATATATATATATATATGACAGTGTCAGATCACGGAGGAAAATTGAAACAGGAATTTCCTTAAGTACTTTCGTATATTAATACATCTTCAGAAAGACTCCTTCTGAAGATGTATTAATATACGAAAGTACTTAAGGAAATTCCTGTTTCAATTTTCCTCCGTGGTCTGACACTGTCACATTTTTAATCACGTGTTTATTTTCGTGATTTACACACACAAATATATATATATGTGTGTGTGTGTGTAGAAGCTACTCTATACACACGTGGTGTATAGCAAGTTATGTATAAAAATGCGACTGTACAATAAACGAGACGGTGTGCAGGAGAAGCCCATTACCCAGAGGCGTGTGCACGGAGTGAAAAGTATTTATTATGAATAAAACTCGTATATATGAATTCTCAAAAAAAAAAAATCTGGAATAAATTATAAAGTGCTCTTATAATGTTGGGGTAACGCACGGTTTCTTGAGACTTAAGATTTTTCAGTGAGCTTTTTAAAAGTTTATAAAGAGGAAGCCTAAGTTTCTGTTTTCATATTTCTGCCAAGAGTTTCAGGCAGGGGGTGGGGGCACCAACTTGTATAACTGTGTGTGTGTGTGTTAGTGGAGGGTTAATGGGTGTTTGTGTGTATGTGGAAGGGGGGGGGGGTTACGGTGGCATAGCCTGAGGTACAGTATAACCTATGACAAAGGCAGACAAATAAAAACAATTTAATACAGTAAATCATACTCTAACCAATGCAATTCATACATTGAGATACAATGAGTACTGATCGGTTGATATCGTGAGATACAATGAAGACTGAAATATATATATACCGTAACGTACAATGAGTAGCATTATTAATTCAGTATAATAATTAGGGCGAGTGTATAACAGGCTGTATGATGACTATGACCGTACAAGGCAGTATTATTGTGGTAGTGTTGTTAATTAAAGAACCACCTAATTGCCGTAGTTCAGCCGAGGTGACTGACTAGCGGTAGTGGAGGTAATTAAGGTACAAAGGGCCACCCCCTTAAAATTGGAGCGTTTGTTCTGCGCATGCGCGTCCCTTAAGGGACTTGACACAACGTATCCCTAATATTTAAAATAATATAATAATAATTATTATTATTACTTACATATTGTATGAATACATTGCATATACTGTGCGAATTTACATACTTGTATATAATAATAATATGAAGCAATGGTTGTGGTTATTAAGCATCTTTAACTTAAATATTTATATATGTAGTGTGATCTATATGTAAGTAGTCACATATGTGTGTGTACATATGTATTAAAAGCAAAGCGTTGCACCAGTACTAAAAGCAGCCATGACCTCCACAGCCGCGCGGCGGTAGCCTCAGCCGCCCCGCCGTCGTCGCCGGCCGCCACCTCCCGCTACCAGCAGGGTCTCCAGCAGCGTCATGGCGGCGCCTCCGCCACCCCCGCCCCTCACTATTGTGACGGCCAGGACGAGATTGGCTGCTTCCAGGTATGTCCTTTCCATCCATCCCTCTTCCTCCTTCCTTCTCCCTCACTCATATGACCCAGATAAAGATATTCCAGCTCAATAGATTAGCGCGTGTCAGCACGACCCAATGGTGCGTGACCTCCCTGGTGACCGGGTCACGACCTGCCCTCTTAACCTCATCTCGTGATAATAATCATATTTTACTCTGTAGTTTTATATTCAGCTGTATATATATATACCCTCTCACTGTGCTCTTCTCACCAGGTGCGGCTCTACTACGACTGGTTCCTTATACCCGGCTCCTGCAAGTGTTGGAAGCAAGACCACTTCGCTCAGTTCGCCTACAGGAAATAAGATACGATAAAGGATCCGACCTCAGAAAATTTGTAAACACGATATACCTATTGGCAAGTGTTGGACACAGGGGGACCCAAACACTGGCAAGTGTTGGACACAGGGGGACCCAAACACTGGCAAGTGTTGGACACAGGGGGACCCAAACACTGGCAAGTGTTGGACACAGGGGGACCCAAACACTGGCAAGTGTTGGACACAGGGGGACCCAAACACTGGCAAGTGTTGGACACAGGGGGACCCAAACACTGGCAAGTGTTGGACACAGGGGGACCCAAACACTGGCAAGTGTTGGACACAGGGAGACCCAAACACTGGCAAGTGTTGGACACAGGGAGACCCAAACACTGGCAAGTGTTGGACACAGGGAGACCCAAACACTGGCAAGTGTTGGACACAGGGAGACCCAAACACTGGCAAGTGTTGGACACAGGGAGACCCAAACACTGGCAAGTGTTAGACACAGGGGGACCCAACACCGATAAGTGTTGGACAAACACACATGCCAAGCATTGGGACTAAACAAACATTAACAAGTACACAATAAAACAATGATTCAAAACAGACAATTTTACATTCAGAAAAACTGGGTAGGATTAAAACGGTTTTAGAAATAGGCTCAATGGTTTATGGAATAGGTTATCGGGCACCATAATTAACGAGGGGGTCTATTAAAAATCATTTTAATAGGGGTCTTTATGCTGGGGTCTATTAAAAATCATTCTGGAATCATTCCATTCACGATTCAAACAAATCATGCAATTCTCTACAACACCGCTTGAATCATTAAATCTCATACTCTTTACAATGATCTAAATCATCTCTGACCCTGCAACAGCGCCAAGCCTTGCTTCTGGGGTGCTTCAAGGTCATCATATATAATGATAATAATTCATTGTATCAGCGGGACAGGAAGCCAAAGGGAAGTCCTGCACATTAGGCTTTTATCGAGGTTCCCTACCCCCGTGACTAACTCCTGAGTCACCTACACACTGCTAGGTGAACAGCGGCATTGGGGGGGAAAAGAAAATATGCCCAACCATTTCTGTCCCGCCCGGGATTCGAACCCGGAATTCACGGTTGTGCGTCGAGAACGAAGCCGACTGTACTACTGGGACTCGCATGCAGAAGGTGACACAGGACACAAAGATGAGGTAAAACAACACATCTGTCAGATCTATGTTATATTTTGTGTTGTTACGTTAGTGTTGTTAACGATATAGTTAGTGTTGTTACTTGTGGTTGTTAGCTGTTGTTGTTATCGTTAGTAGTTATTGCTCTCTTCACAGTGTGTTCTTATCATTAATTGTTAGTTCTTGTTTTATGTTGTTATTGTTAGCTCTTGATAGTAGTTAGTAGCTGTTATTTGTTGTTGACGTTATTATAAGTTGTTGTTTCGTTAGCTGTCGTTGTTATTTGTTATTGATGGCAGTTAGTGTTAGTGTTGTGATTGTTGTTGATTTAATTTCAAGATATTGTTGTTACTGTTAACTGCTGTGGTTGTTAATAACAGCTGTTGTATTGTTGGTTGTTTCTGCTGTTGTTATTGGGGCTATTATCTAGCAATTTATTTACAGCTGACATATTTCATATGCTAATGTCAGCTGCTAATATCTAATATTAGCAGCTAATGCTAATATCTCCACCCAACCTGGAGAACAAGGGAGAGAGAGAGAGAGAGAGAGAGAGAGAGAGAGAGGGGGGGGGGGGGACGTGCTACCAAATTAGAAATATAATTTGTTATTTCGCATTATATACATACACGGTATACATAGACAAGGCTGCTCGCGCACACTAAGACCTGTGATCTTAGGAGAGCCGTGTAAGTATGAATGGACAGTACAATAATTATGAATAGGCTACCAGGAATATATGGCGGAAGGGTAATATTTGCAGTGTGAATGAGCATTAACCGTATTAGTAAGAATTTACTTTATACTTATATGTGTAAGTACGGATAAAGCCACTTATTAGGCATAAATGATAAACTTGGTAAGTAGGGGATAAGTCATACAGCCTTGTAAGTAAAGCTGTGGAACATTTGCCAGATGTGAATGAGTAGTTATGAGTAGAATGAGTGTGTGAGTAGTGGTATGAGCGAGTGTAGCCACTCATGAATATGTAGTCACAACCGGTCACCACAACGTATATATTTTGGTGAACTCTCAACTTCTCTCGAATAATACGTGTTATTTTGACATCAAAATCCCAACCCAATGGACAAAATGTTATGAATATAAATCATAGCGGCTCGGAAAAATACACGTTTTCTATGGTCGGTTAGGTTAGGTTTGACTCAAGCAATTTAATACATCATGTTCCGTCCGTTGTGACAACTTGAGAGGACGAGTTGCAACTTCAACGCCACACACACACACACTAGACACTGTCAAAAAGTTATTATGTTCATGCAGAGACTATTCTAGACCGTCCACCTCACCTCTTATATTGTATAAACTAGTCAATCCAAATGATAACACTGATAATAAAACGATTACATGAAGAGCATAATTGCAGGACAATCTCAAGACATGGTGATTACGGTATGAGAAATAGGCAGTTACTTAGCCTGGCTGTTAGTGTCCTTCTTCCCCTACCCCCGCCCTCCTTCTATCACCTCGTCCTGTCCCATCAACACGCTAACTATATATTCCTCGCTGTTCGTCTCAAAGCCTAGCAACAACACGAAGGTTATTAAGGACTCTGCGAGAGCTGAACGACCAAACATCAAGTATAGTAGTCGTCATGATCAGAGGACGGACTTGTTGATGCACTCAAGATACATGAGTGGATACAGCCCTCAGAGGATCACTGGAAAAGGAGGGGGGGGGGGGGGTTGAACCAGAGACAGGTTGAAAATATCACCCAACCTCCATTTAAGGCTGGTCGCCCTCCACCCCAGGCTAGTCGACCTCCACTCCAGAAGGTCGACCCGCCGTCTCTCTTCACAAACGTGTAGCTTCAAGTGTCTTACATTTTGGTATTGTGGATGGTTAAGCCCAGTTGCTAAACTGATCAGTTAATATTATCAAATTATTATTTGTAATTTTGTATTACAAGTCCTTACAATTGTCCTCATGGTCGAGTTACAGTCTCTCATTCACCCTGTATTAGTCTTGTACCGGCTGTATGTGTCTCCACTCATGTGTCCAGGGCCAGCTGTATGTGTCTTCACTCACCAGTTATGTGTCCAGGGCCAGTTGTATGTGTCTCCACTTACCAGTCATGTGTCCAGGGCCAGCTGTACGTGTCTCCACTTACCAGTCATGTGTCCAGGGCCAGCTGTATGTGTCTTCACTCGCAAGTCATGTGTCCAGGGCCAGCTGTATGTCTCCACTCACCAGTCATGTGTCCCTGGCTGGCTGTATATGGCTACTCACCACTCATATGTTCCGAGCCAGCTGTATGTGTCTCCATTAACGTGTCCAGGCGCCAGCTGTGTGTGTCTCCACTCACGTGTCCCAGAGCCAGCTGTATGTCTCCACTCACGTGTCCCGGAGCCAGCTGTAAGTGTCTCCACTCACGTGTCCAGGAGCCAGCTGTATGTGTCTCCACTCACGTGTCCCGGAGCCAGCTGTATGTGTCTCCACTCACGTGTCCAGAAGCCAGCTGTATGTGTCCCCACTCACGTGTCCCGGAGCCAGCTGTAAGTGTAAATATGGTAGACTAAGAAGACACCAGCAATAATGTTGTTATTGGCGGCTGGTCTCGAGTCAATAAAGTTATACGCTGTTGAGGCTACTTTGATTACTCCTGGGGCAATAAATATGTGTTAACTGTATTTAATGTAAGACCAGTTAAGAGAAAGAGAGAGACTTATTTAGGGATTTTGATCTTTCTTTACTGTAAAGAACCTCAACTGCTTTCGACAATTGTTACACTAGCCTCGCCTATTTTGATATATAAATGACTGTACAATATTTTTATTTTGCAACACATAATGTCCTTGTTTTGTTCCTCCTCCTCATCATCATTTCTTCTTCTCCTACTTCTCGTCCCCAGAATTCGATGAACCTCCTTGGTTTCGTCTGAGACTTAGAAATTACTCTGCCAATAAACCAGGAATTCAATTGTGTTCCGACACTATCTACAGGGCGGCCTGGCACGCTATTGGCCACCCATCTTATGGCGGGAAATTCAAAATCAATGTCGGGTGGGTGATGGTCCGAAGAGACTATATATATATATATATTAAATATGACCGAAAAAGTAAGATTAATAATTCTAACACGAATTTTCTCAATCTTTCGTACATTTCTTTTCACTGTTGGAGGTAATTCAAAAATCAATTCTCCAAAATTCATTTTTATTTCTAGTCTGACGCGACACTTGAGCGCGTTTCGTAAAACTTATTACATTTTCAAAGACTTTAGTTAACATATACACAACTGAGTAGAACTTACTGAATAGAATAGAACATCTCCGATTTTGTTTATATCTACATTTGAGTGAGGTGGATGGGGTGAGGTGGTATTTAATAAGGTATTAATTTCATCAACACAAGCCAGAACATGAAACAATGGGTATTGAATAGAAGTGATTGTAGAAAGCCTATTGGTCCATATTTCTTGATGCTTCTATATTGGAGCGGAGTCTTGAGGTGGGTAGACTCCGCTCCAATATAGAAGCATCAAGAAATATGGACCAATAGGCTTTCTACAATCACTTCTATTCAATACCCATTGTTTCATGTTCTGGCTTGTGTTGATGAAATTAATACCTTATTAAATACCACCACTCCATCCACCTCACTCAAATGTAGATATAAACAAAATCGGAGATGTTCTATTCTATTCAGTAAGTTCTATTCAGTTGTGTATATGTTAACTAAAGTCTTTGAAAATGTAATAAGTTTTACGAAACGCGCTCAAGTGTCGCGTCAGACTAGAAATAAAAATGAATTTTGGAGAATTGATTTTTGAATTACCTCCAACAGTGAAAAGAAATGTACGAAAGATTGAGAAAATTCGTGTTAGAATTATTAATCTTACTTTTTCGGTCACATTTAATAATATATGTCTACAGGAAAGACTGCTACCAAAATATACTAATATATATATATATATATATATATATATATATATATATATATATATATATATATATATATATATATATATATATATATATATATATATATATGCTTGCCGTATTGAAAACAATGTTGTAGAATCTTATGGTAAAATTATCAAATTGTATGTATGTAGAAATTAATATAGCCAAACATGCTCATAATGCTACACATATACACATTTTAACATGCAGAGATTCACATACATACACCAGAAAACACACAAGCGCACAAGAACTACACCTGAAAAAAACAAGCAAACATATAAACACCGAATATGCTAATTAGCTACAACTAATTTGATTCCGCCGCTCCAGATTGGAGATAAGAAGCCCATTATATCTGGGCTTCTTGATTAAATACTGAGCGTTAATTCTTCCTTCATTTGGAGCCTCTTAAGAACTTAAAAACAGAGGATTGCCTCAATTCTTCGCTCTCCTCATACTGCCTCACATTCCTCGCATGGAGAGAGAGAGAGAGTTGGTGTGTTGTTTTAGATTCAGCCAATCTGAAAAAAGGTTCCAAGCAGCACGGGCTATGGTGAGCCCGTAGTGGACTCACATACAAACAGCCACATTCAAACAGACGGAAAGAAGGATCGGAAAAAAAGAGGAGATAAACTAAAGCCAGCAAAAAGAAGACCCACAAAAGCGATATCAAGTTAATCCCCCGTCATAAATGATATGGCAGCAACAGCAGCGAGATATGCATCTCAAACACCTGTAAGATTCGTATAGACTTCATCATACATATCAGGTAAATGTTCAGTCTTCCTGATCCTAGCACCGAAATTACCCAAATACAACGACAACAGGAAATTAGATATAGGCAAAGCCCCATATATATCACTCATCCAGTTGTTAACAGCTTAAAGTACATGCTACCATTCTCAAGGACTAAAACAATATCCAGCTGACATCTAAAGTAACACTGTATAAGTGAAGTATGATGTCACTCTTTCCCCACTCCTCCTTTCGGAAAATTTATTTTATTATTAAGAAGCACTGAAACAACTCTATGTAAAACATCTAATATTTCCCAGTTGGCTCCATGAAAATAGCATGTAACCCCCCTTACATTGGGAGTCTCCATTAATGCTAATATTTCTTAAAATATACTCGTACCGACTTATAGGTACAGATAGATAACAACACAGTGAGAGGCCACCGCTGGAAGCTACAGACAATAACCGTTGGTAAAGAAATACTATTTTCGCGCGCGAGTGTTTGAAACGTGACACAATAGGAAACAAAAGCAGGTCGGAAATCATTTCCTCTGACGGCCGCAGCTGAAAATATTGGGTCAAAGAGTTGAGGCTCGACCTTTAGACACAAATAGGTTAGTATACACACATATAAAGAGACGCAACATATTGAAAACACGAGATAGCCAATTAGGATCAAGTATAACGGTTGGAGTTTAAGGCTAATGCTGTGATATGACTTATATTGTATATTATTATTAAATAAAGAGATAAAAAAATTTCTCTGATGCCAAGAATAAAATCAATGAACAGATTTCATAACTTTAAAACACGAGGATAACTAACACGTCTATTCTCAACATATGACCACATAATTTAATAGATGTTCTTGTTTCGTTTTATGCTTTATTCTGGTTCCTTCTTATAATTGCTTCGAATTCATTATTCCTACCCCTATTCTTTTTCTTCCGAGTCTTTAATTCTCTCTCTTTCTGAATTTATTTTCTCCTCTGATAAATGTTTGCATTTCTATGATTTCTGGAAAGCTAAGATCTTCCATCGTCGAGTGATTTCCTAATCTCGACTTTCTAGCTTATGCCAACTGTGCCACGTAATGGAGACGCTTAATTTGGTCAGTCAGGTTAAGCAAGTGACTGAGTGACCGCGAGGAGAGAGAGAGAGAGAGAGAGAGAGAGAGAGAGAGAGAGAGAGAGAGAGAGAGAGAGAGAGAGAGAGAGAGAGAGAGAGAGAGAGAGAGAGAGAGAGAGACAGACAGACAGACAGAGATAGAGAGATAGAGAGATAGAGAGAGAGAGAGATAGAGAGAGAGAGAGAGAGAGAGAGAGAGAGAGAGAGAGAGAGAGAGAGAACGCGCGCGCCTAGAGTCCTAGGCTCGCCGGCCATGATAAACCTCACAGCCATCGGGTCCCGACCTTCAGCGTGTCACACTATGCCATGTCTCTCATTTCCTCCGGCTCTCATCTTTTAACCTACGTCTACTACGGGCTCACCATAGCCCGTGCTACTTGTGCTTTTGTTCCAAGTAGCTGAATCTAAAACAACAACGTCTTTTGACCACTGGTTGTCAGGCTACTTTAAAATTTTCTCTGTATTCTGCCCTCCTCTATAAGAACTCATTTTCTTTTCTGTTTCAGTTAATCTTTAAATCTGGTTTCTTTCTTTCCCTCTCCCCTAGAATCTTTTTTTGTCATTCACCCCTCCCGTTCCTCTCCTGCTTATGAAATATAAGTTATTTTCAATTTTCCTTCATAATTTCCATTACGAAATTTCCCCCACCCCACCGCTTTTTTTTTTTTTTTGCTGCCCGAATGTATTAGGATCTTTCCTTTTAATCCAGCCCCACCTTCCGCTCAAACTCTGCTTGTGCCTTAGAAATCTGAGCCAAGAGATTGATTGATTGATTAATTGATGGAGATTTAGCCACCACAAGAGGTGGCATAAGTAGCCCGTGAAGCCCGGAGATTTATTGATTGATTGATGAAGATTAAGCCACCACAAGAGGTGGCATGAGTAACACAGAGCCGGGAGATGTTTCCCAAGGACCGACACCTTGTGTGTGTGTGGTGGGGGGCGGTGTGCGCCGGGAGGGGCGAGCCATGGCGCATGACCACGAGGGGGGCACCGCTCTCCAACCCTTCCCAGCTGGACTGCCTCCCTGGCGACAGTCCTCCTGGCGAGTGCATCGTGTCCGGCCATGTGCCGCTTCACCTCCTTCTACGCCATGTGTGTCGTGCACAGACTGCCTGCCCTCTCGCCCACTCTCACGTGAGTTCATCTCCCTCCCGTGTGTGTGTGTGTGATCACCAGACGGCACCAGTCACATTGTGGGGAAAGTATTGATCCTACTTGCGTCCTAGAGGCGACTGGGGGAGAGAGAGTGCCTCAGAGAGAGGAGAAAGAGAGTGAGAGAGAGAGGGGCACAGTGAAGTGGGGATGCTGTTCATGTATCACAGCCGCCGCGCCACTCCACCAACATTATTATGTGAACGTGTCAATAAGGTTGGTGGTATCTGAGGTGGTGGGACACGGCTGGGTGTCTTGGGAGTGTGTGTGTGGCTGCCGGAGACGAGGTGCACTTGTCCATTTGTGCAAGAGCGCTTGGTATCTGTATGTTACACATGTCCTAGAGCCAAGGTGTCTCACAACGTAGTCAGATGCTGTTGATAACATGGGCGTAGCCAGGCGTAGAGGTCGACGGGAAGTAACGGTTCCCATACGCTGAAATAGGGTGCACATTTCCCATAGATTTATCGAGAGGATATGAGTAACGGCCATAAATGAGCTAGCTTTTTGACACTATTCCCTTTCATATAGTCTAGGGTAACTGCACAAATACAGATGTACCTAATGTATTAATACAAAAAAGGGCCATAAATGTAGATGGATCTAAATGTGTTAATAAAACAAGACTGAGAGATGGGGACTTTTAGTATCACATGGCTATCTCTCCCTTGGCACAAAGTGTCCTCCTTCACATAGGCTAGGATACCTGCCAATATGACCATGTACCTAAATATGTTTAGAAACATGCCCACAGTATATTATGTTATGATATAAAATCCAGTTAGAGGAGCACACACTTAAGTGGGAGAATAATATAGGATGAGAAGCATCACAGTGGGAGAGTAATATAGGATGAGAAGCATGGAAGTAGGAGAGTATGAGGAGTGCATCAACAAGTGATTATTGGCCAACACTCTGGTTTCCTAAACTTAACATTCCATAACCAAGACACCTGCCTCTCTTGAGACTGATTCCCGCGAGTGAATGTTTATGAATTCACAAATAACATGAAATTAGTTATGGAATATCATTGCCAGAGATAAGAGAACTTTGATCTAAGGAGATCCTCCTAGACAAGAGCGAGGCTGGCCACGTGGTCACCCAACTAGTTACTGGTTAGACCCAATACGCTTAACGATCTACATCCATACCATCCCCTGCCTGTCGCGATTAGGGACCTGCCGAGTCAGAATGATTTAAAATGTAATTACAATATAGTGTAATAACCCAAGAAACACATTTGTGATTTAAGTAGCATAATGCCCTCGACTAATTAAATATAAAAATAATTTTCAATATAACAGTAATTCGAAAATAACATGCAGATCCGATATGATTTTATATTGACAATTAATGTGGAGTTCACTCACTGTTCTTATCATGTTTAAATTTAAAGCTGCGTATCGAATTGGTTTCAACAACTCCAGTACTTTATATGGCATACTTATCAGTGACACCGATCTCTACTTCAGTTACACTTGTCTATCGCCTTTTTTGAGTATCAGGACTACGTTTGAGGGGGGTAGAAATAGCCTGAGCTACTCTATCCCTGTGAGATGTATTTCTTTCTTGTCTCAGTAAACATACTTGAACTTGAACTACGTTTGCCTTTTAGCAGAATTCTGAGAAATGACCTGTCTCAGGTGTTTTATTGAAAACATCAAAACATCAGTTAGCGAATGGCAAAGTACCTCTGAAGCCTCATTCAGCTGCCATAGTCATACTAAGCCTGGCTCTCTCTCTCTCTCTCGTGTGTGTGTGTGTGTGTGTGTGTGTGTGTGTGTGTGTGTGTAGAATATTAAATTTCAATTTCTTTCTTTATTATGCAACTCATACCCATCCCGTGGGCGGTGGTGGAAAGGGTTACAGAGATGTTCAGGTTCGGTTCAGGAACTGAACTATATAGTTCATTTAGCTAAGCAAGTGACAATCTTTTCAAGCTAGTTACACAATTGTTAATGTTATATATACATGTACATATATAAATATATACAATCATTTGCACATATACATATCGATAATCTTTTATGTCACAAGTGATTCAACAAGAAGCTCACAACAGTCACTATACAAGGCACTTATTAACATCTATGGCGAGTCACGCACTTACTAGTCTTGCTCCACAGCCACCCAACTGGGCGGCAGCTTGAACAAAAGGTGACCAAGGTGCATGAGAATCGGGGTAAGGGGTAGTTTTTTTTACAATTCTTACATTCTTGTACAGTCACTAACTAGCACGCACAGCGTTTCGGACAAGTCCTTAATCCTAATTTTCCCCGGAGTACGACCCGCCAAATCGTTTAACAACTGTTCCCATTCACTGCTGGGGTGAACAAATGCTACAGTTGAGGATTGGCGCCCATTCAATCCTCCCTGGCCAGGATACGAACCCAGGCCAAAGCGCTCGTGAAGCATCTGGCGAGTGTTTTACCACTGCGCCACAGGGACTGCTAACAGACGACAGAAGCTGCTACTAAACTAACTTATCTCTGCCCTTCTCATCAAGAAAGAGTCTGTTCAGCACTCACTCTTAAACTGACGAGGCCAGAACAACGGGAGAGGGTAAACACAAGAGGCTTTGGAGAGACTTACTAGCAAAATCTCATGAACACTGTCTAAGAAATCCTTGTTTACTCAACTTCCAGCATCACCACAATCCCTCCCTCTCCTCCGCCTCCTTTTCCTCGTATCCTCTTCCCCTCCTCTTTTCCTACATCTATCAGTCATCTGTCGTTCCTCTTCCCCCATTCCTACAGCCTAGCCAACGTATATAACAAATACCACGCTGTTATTGGAAAATAAAAATAATATATTTCTGAGAAATAAATAAAAAAAAAATATTGTTTCAGAGACTAATGATTTTTATTTGAGGACCTAACGCGGAATACATTTAAAGATTGGCGCCTAGTCAATCCTCCCTGGCCAGGATACGAACCCAGACCAAATCGCTCAGGCTGAAGTTCAAGTATGTTTATTGAGACAAGAAAGAAATACATCTCGAAGGAATAGCGTAGCTTAGGCTATTTCTACCTCCCCCCCCCCTCTCTACCAAATAAAAGTAGGTAAATACTGCACGTTTGTAAACACAAGCCTATATTATTGTATATCTAAGTGATCCCGCATCGGAATCATTTAGGCAGAGATAAGACAGAGACAGTCTGTTCTCACCACGGCAACTCGACGCCACCACTTTAATCTTGTGACGGAAATTAAAGCATTCCTCTACCAACACTATCAACTCTAAACATTGCTCTTACTATCTCGGCTACAAGGGAAGGTCAGTTTCCTCAAGGAGCATTTTGCTTTTCTCACTTTCTCAGTGGTTAATGTTCAAATTTCATTAGTGATTACTTTTTTTTTCTTTACTTTGGGTTGGTCCTGAGGATCAATTGTCCCCGGGGCCCGGTCTTTGACTAGGCGTCCTGCTTGGTAGTCAGGTTAACCAGACTGTTCCTAAGACACAGTTGCTTGCAATGTGGCTTTTTGGTTAATTTTTTAATGACTTTTGATTAAATATTTTCAATGGTTATTGTGTAAAATTGATCAGTGTTTAGTGGTTAAAATTTATCAGTGATTATTGTTTAAAATTTGTCAGTAGCTATTGTTTAAAAAATCTCAGTGGCTGTTGTTTAAAAATCTCAGTGGCTGTTGTTTAAAAATCTCAGTGGCTGTTGTTTAAAAATCTCAGTGGCTGTTGTTTAAAAATCTCAGTGGCTGTTTAAAAATCTCAGTGGCTCCCTCTCCTCCGCCTACTTTTCCTTGTACCCCTCTTTCCCTACATCTATCCCTCCATCTCCTGTCGTTAATACAGGCTCACCATAGCCTGTGCTACCTGGAACGTTTTGTTCCAGGTAGCGAATCTTAAACAAAAACATCCTGTCGTTCCTCTTCCCCCATTCCTACAGCCTAGCCAACGTACATAACAAATATCACGCTGTTATTGGAAAATAATATATTCCTGTATATTACTGTTGTTTACAAAATCTCAGTGACTTTCGCTAAAAAAAAATCATAATTATAAAAATTAAGTTGCTTGAGAGCCTTCAAATACAGTATCTCCTTTAATCGCGGTTGTTCAAATAGTGTCCAACTGTACAATATTGTGAGGAATTTCCCCTCACATCGTTCAGTTTACTTGATTTAAAAGTGATATTCTACTAACATTTTTAAGACGACGTGACCTTGTTATTATTATTGCTTAAGATCACTCGCAGCCTTCAACGACCCTGAAGGAGACAAGCCAGGCATTTTACCAACCTCTTACGCACAAACAAGAATTAGGACTGAATCTTCATCAAGTAGAATTACTGTATGTATGTGTTTCAAGGTATAATTTTATTTCCAGATAGGCTACAGGAGAGCGCGGGCGGGTGGTGAGAGATCAGAGGCAGGCCTATACTAGGCTACAGTAGGCTAAGAACGCTATAATGAGACAACCTCCATTATAATGCAGACCGGGTCCACACTCGACGCCTATAACATAAGATAAAGTTCGAATAATAATCAATGACCGTGAGCATTAAATAAGCTGTTATCAGTGGGGTAACTTGGTGACGTCAAACCATATTGCCCCACAGTAACTAAAAGTCTCTGTGGATGATACAAGTTAGTGGGATGAGTGTTGAGTGAAGTTAAAGCTGGGATTGGCAAGCTTACCACCACCCAGCAGCCTACGAACGCAGTCAGTGTTGAGGCGGGCTCTCAGCTGGCTACAGTTTGGTCATGCCACCTGCATGGCTGATGTTCTTTCGTCCTCTGCTCACCGCTGCCAAGGAACCCTACTTTCTATAATTAAGTAAGTTTATTACCATTCCTTTCTTCCCTACTTTGTGTAATTAAGTTTATTACTATTCCTTTCTTCCCTTCTTTGTTTAATTAAGTAAGTTATTACCATTTCTTTCCTCTGGTGGAAGTTTTGACGTCCATCTCGGTGTACAAAAATCTTTACATTATTTTTATCGTTGTGTATTTAGTGTATAAAACGTCTCTAATTTCTTGGGCATTCGTACATATGTTTTGTGTGTGCGTTGTATACAGGATGTATCCTCCCAGGGTATATGTATATACAGGATGCATCCTCCCCGGGTGTACGTATATACAAGATGTATCCTCCCCGGGTGTACATATATACAGGATGTATCCTTCCCGCATAATTACAAACGACAATGTCAATCATTACAGCAGGAGATAAGCTGTCAAGTAAGGCCGTTAACAACCACCATATTTCAAGATGTCATGATACCATCAGATATCATGACATATCAAGGCTGGCGGAAGAGGCAGGTAGAAGGAACTTAGCGTGATTGCACCAGTGTACACTTGTAGAGACCAGTAAATAATGGACTCCATCCTAGCGTATCCAACATGTTTCTTATAAAATGACCATATCGGAATTATGGGAGCATAGCCCACTGACGAGCAAGCAAAGTTCAGCATTCAGTACAGTAGTGAATCTGAGTGTGTAGCTGATTTCAAATACATTTTGATGAGATTACAGGACAATTAAATATCATTTGTTCGTCTACATTTTGAATATTATGAAATTATGGAGAGGTGAGGCGTAGGAGAGCGTTGCCACCTTCAGCTTCCCGTATTATTTGTCACATTCAAGATACGCCCCTAGATCCCAAGTGATGTACTTAATAGAGGGCTGTAGGGTTATATTTAGAAGTATTGCGTATTAAAATGAACCCTGAGAACCACACCCTTGCTGTCCTCTGCAGTACTGAGTGGCTGCACTGGGGGGCTGGGGAGTGGCTGGCGCGGGGTGAAAGACCCGGCAAGACTGTCAGTGAACGCACTTTGATATGAGAGAAAAAGCAGTGTTAGCTACGCGATGTACCACTAACACTACCTAGACCCGTGCCAGTGCTGCGCCCAGACTCGCGTCCCGCCACCACCTGGCGGGAGATGGCGCGCCCCAGACAACCTTACTGTTTGTTATTGTTTTAGATTCAGCTACTCGGGACAAAACGTTCCAAGTAGCACGGGCTATGTTGAACCCGTTGTACTCACCTGGCACAGGAGACGTGCCAGGTCTGTCACGTTACTTCACGTCACACCCACGGGTATATATATATAGTACCCAGCTGTGAACATTTACGGGCTATTCATGCCCGTGCCACCTCTTGGGTGGCTTAATCTTCATCAATCAATCAATCTGTGAACATGAGCACAATGTTCATGTCTACCGCTTTTACGAGGTACTCATGCCCGTGCCACTTCATGGGTGGCTGATCTTCATCAATCAATCAATGAGCGCAGGTACATATCCTGTTCAGAGTGAGATCTGGTAATCTGGGGCCAGATTCACGAAGCAGTTACGCAAGCACTTACGAACATGTACATCTTTCATCAATCTTTGACGGCTTCGGTTACATTTATTAAACAGTTTACAAGCATAAAAACTTGCCAATCAACTGTTGTTATTGTTATAAACAGTCTCCTGGTGCTTCGGAGTTCATTAACTGTTTAATAATTGTAAACAAAGCCGCCAAAGATTGAGAAAAGATGTGCAGGTTCGTAAGTACTTGCGAAATGGCTTCGTGAATCTGGCCCCAATACTGTGTTGCAACAGGTCGTTCCTGGTCGATCTCCCTGCACTCCGGTCCTACACCAACCCTAATGTTAAATCACCGTTTACAAATTTGATAAATAATTGCTATTGACACTAGACTTCCGGCACACCTCTCTCACAGCTATCTTGAACCATCGCCTCCCCCCCCCCCTAGCTATCTTCCTTCCTTCACTTGGCACATTCCAGTGGTGTCACCCACTGACACATCTACGCTGGTGTCATCTACTCTCTCTCACACACACACATAGGGGTCTGGTAGCTGAGTGGACAACGCGCAGAACTCTTAATTCCCGGACCAGGCAGAAACAAATGGTCAAAGTTTTTTCACCCTGAATGCCCCTGTTACCTAGCAGTAAATAGGTACCTGGGAGTTAGACAGCTGTTACGGAGCTGCTTCCTGTGTGGGGGGGGGGATTAGTTAGTACTTGGTAACAGTTGATTGACAGTAGAGAGGCGGGCCGAAAGAGCAAAGTTCAAACCCCCGCAAGCACAACTAGGTGAATACACACACACACACACACACACACACACACACACACACACACATTCAGACTATTACAGAGGAGGGGTTACAATATGGTTACATGGACGGTGCAAACTTAACTGTTACAGGCCGTCGAGTTCCTCAAGCTCCGCCAGAGGAAGCAGTGACGTCGTACTCCCATACTGATGGGCGTGTTACACAAACTAGTGAACATTTGAAGTCTTGTGTACACTGTCTTCCCATTGTTTGGCTTTGTTGTATAATGTATTTCGTAAGTGTTCCTTTCCCAAGTGTTGTGAGAACGGAGGCAGTAATGTATGGCCATAACTCACAATAGATCCTCCCCCTCCCTCCATCTTTCTCTCTCTCTCTCTCTGAGTTCCTACACATTCCCGCAACCCTGCAGCCTCTGCCAAGAATATTTATCTGGCGGTGAAATATGTTGATCTAGAGACTTCTACTCCTTTTAGCAACCCGACTTTTGGCTTTTTATTTTGTTTAAAAGAGTTTTCACTGCTGACTGCTGCGGATTTGACTCATGCCGAAAACTTAAAGAAAAAAACAAATTCAGATAAAAGCCTCGTGAAATATACGCAAATAGTTATTGTTGTTTTAGATTTGGATAGAACGAACTGTCCATGTAGCACGGGCTATGGCGAGCCCGTAACTCGGGTTATCGCAAATAGCCATATGCGGTTTTTTTATAGGGAGGTGTGTTTATAAATAGAGGTGAGGTGTGTTGGGGGGAAATGTGTGATATTCGTGGTGAGTCTTGATGATGGTAGCAGGTGACAGGCAGATGCTGGGTTCTGTAATGTGTAGGTGCGCTGGGCTCTGTATGGCAGCGCTGGGCTCTGTATAGCTGCGCTGGGCTCTGTATAGCTGCGCTGGGCTCTGTATAGCTGCGCTGGGCTCTGTATAGCTGCGCTAGGCTTTGTATAGCTGCGCTAGGCTCTGTATAGCTGCGCTAGGCTCTGTATAGCTTTTCCACTGTTTAAAAAAATATATTATCTTTAAAATAAAAAGAAAGAGCCCTCCGCCTAACACAACTATTTTTCTTTATCTACGTAAAGCAAGAGAAAAAAGTGCAGAAGGAACGACAAAAGGTGCATAAGGAACGACAAAAGGTGTAGAGGAAACGACACAAAATATATAATGGTTACCAAGATCGTGGCGGAGTCACAATAGCACGATTAAACAAGTGTTGCCAGATAACAATTAAAAAAAAAGGTAACAACATTGGAATTCGAACAAAAAAAGGCATTACTTAGCGGAGCCTCCAAGGGCGTAGCTCTCACTGCGGGAGTGGACGTGACCCGTCTCTGTGTCTTGCTATGATAATGCGATCAATATGTCAACCTTGCGTTTTGTCCTGCGTCCGCTCTCTCACACATAAGGCAAATTTCACAGGAAAACGGTATCTCGGCAACCCCAAAGTCCATTCCATCCAGTGGTCGACCCCCCGAAAGACGCATTCCTGAATTTTAACATGCTGTTCATTCAAAACAGAACTTTTCTGAAATATAAATTAATATTATTATATATTAGCATATTGGGTATATTTAGGCACTGGTTAGGTTAGGTGTTTAGGTTCTGTAGGCGATTATTTGTGTTTGTAGTACGTGGGTGAAACATTTACAGCGTTGTGGTTCGAACAAAAGTCGTCAGTGAAGCACTTGTTCCGGAAATTTTCGGACGTCATCAGTTGTGAGTCGTGTGTAACCCGCTTTTCATTCATAAACAGGGGGTTTGGCGGGTGCATGGAATGGACTTTGGATTTTTTATTTAGAGGACGGGCTGTTTTATACAACCCGTCCTCGACTCAAGTCCATTACATTCATCGGTCAACCCCACAGACGCATTCATATATTTTAACATGCTGTTCATTCAAAACGGGAATTTTCTCAAGTATATATTAATATTATAATATATTAGCATATTGTGTATAAATAGGCATAGGTTAGGTTAGGTTAGGTGTTTAGGTTCTGTTTGTGATTATTTGTATTTGTAGTACGTGGGTGAAGCATTTATAGCGTTGTGATTCGAACAAAATTCGTCAGTGAAGCACTTGTTCCGGATATGTTCGAACGTCAGCAGTTGTGAGTCGTGTGTAAACCGCTTTTCATTCATAAACAGGGGGTTTGGTGGGTGCATGGAATCACTTTTGGATCTTTATTTGGAGGACGGGCTGCACAACTGATGACGTCCGAACACTTCCGGAACAAGTGCTTCGCTCACGTCCTCTGTTCGACCCACAATTCTATAAATGCTTCACCCACGTACTTCAAATACAAAATAATCGCCAACAGAACCTAAACACCTAACCTAACCTACGCCTAATTATACATATAATTTTTATGTATAACAATATTAATTTATATATAACAAACTCATTTTTAATACACAGTATGTTAAAATTGATGAATGCGTATGGGGAGGACGGCCGGTGCTTTAACCAGCCTAGTGTGATGACGGGTTGTCTGGGGAGGACGGCCGCTGCTTTAACCAGCCTAGTGTGAGGACGGGTTGTCTGGGGAGGACGGCCGCTGCTTTAACCAGCCTAGTGTGATGACGGGTTGCAACCATGATAACTGCAACGAGGCTCTGAAGACCTTTACAGTTGTTAAAGTTATATAAGGCAATTGACTTATGCGACTCATAGTAAATCATCGGGAAATAATTGTTGCACATAAGCGGGGATGATTACCGAGCTCTGAGGTTTCACTAATTAGGG